AGTCGAGATCCTAAATCAAAGAGTATCGGAAGCCGTTCTCACCATTGTGAGATTCACCTTGTTGCTTCGGATGCCGGGACTTCTTATATTGCCTTCAGAGTAGATGTTTCCCGATGAACTTGTCTAAGCTTGCATTCTTCACCGTCACTGAAGCGCCAAGCGAGCTAAAAGAGAGAGGGAATGACACTAACCTCAAAGGAGCGCCCAGACCCGACTATACAACCTCGCCTTTTTCGCCAAGAACGGGCCTGAAATTATTGCCTCACACTGCCTCGATGAACTCTAAAGACATGCACAAAAAGCCAGTCAACAACACTACCAAAGCAATCAAGAGATCAACAATTGGCACTGGGATGTGTCAATGACACAAATGAGACACCGCCACGATCAAGACAAGAATCACAACGCCATTTTCCGGTTTTGGGAACCAAAACACGGATTCCCGTGACTCGCAAACGCTTCCACCAGTTTCTACGGAGAAGCACTATAATATTAATCTGACCGAAAAAATCCAGATGACTAAGATATTTCCAGAAAGAAAGAAGCAATACTTGTAGTTCTTTTGTTATTATGTTTGGTTTGTCAATTGGATTGTGGAAGAGCAGGTTTTGTGAGCTTCTAAAAAGGATCAAGAATATCAGAAGAGAGGCCGTTAAAATCATCGATCATGATTGAAGATCACAAAATATTTCAAAGAGTTCTTTTTTTTGGGCAACACAAAGTTTCTGAAATTACGACTGAATCATAAAATAGTTACCATCACCGTTTAAATTGAGAGGATGAATAGACCTTCAGATGAACACAGTGATACAGAGCCACAACCAAAAGTCTTGAAGAGAGCATCGAACGATTTGACCTGTCTTCTCATCAACAATTGACATGTATCCTCATCGATCTTGATCTGAAGCTTAATAACTGGTTAATTTGATGATTAAGCCTCACGTTGATGTTCAACTTTGTTCTCGACCCATCCTTCTGCTGATCCTCTCTAGATCAGATCAAATGAAAATTTAAAAAGATTTTGTGCCTCAAAATTTGAAATCAGAACAGTATTGGGTTCGACGTAAATGATAAAGGTTAAAGAAGACGTAAGGGGAAAACAGATTACAGGGTGGTCAGAGTGCTTAAGAACCTAAGATTCACGGAGCTAGAGCTAAGTTTTTTTGTAATTCCGATCAAGGCTAACTTAGTAAAAATTAAACATCATATATAATAAAATAGATGAAAGGTACTTAATTACATAAGATACCCAAAAACAGAAGAATTAAACCAAAAAAATAACTGAAACCTAGAACCGTACATGTTAGCTTTTCAACAGGTTTTTGGTTTTCGGACCTGAATGACATGAACCCGGTAAAAACCGATCTGAAACCTAACCATAAATCATAAGTACTTATTGAATCCGATCTTTTTATACCGAAATGATCAACATCCGATAGGAACCGATCGAACCCCACCCAAAGACCCGAATGCCAAGAACTATTTTAGACATTCAGTCACTTCAGCTTTCTTTTAAAATATAACCAAATAAAATTAAACCGAACTAACTTTACTAATAAAATTTGGAACCCAACTAACCAAACTAAGCGAAATTAACCAAATTTATCCAAAATTTAAACCAAACTCTAACAAAAAAAAATTGGAACGAATTTTAAAACTGAACTAACAGAGTACCGAACCAAATTTTATTTTAGATTAATTTAGTAAACTTTTTGTTGAACCGAATATGAGCCGAATAACCCAAACTAATTGAACTGCATGCATATGCCAAGTTATTGAGGTTACAATAAAAACCACAAACAAGTTTCACGTTAACAAACTCCCACCTAGATGACACATTAAAAATATCGACTACATTTGCATCAAATGTTATTCTTACAAGCAGGTATGAAAATATATTTTTCATATAAAGATATTTATGTACAGATTTACGTGGTTTACGTCTATTCTTTACTTCAATTTTGGTTCAAAAGAAATTATTGGATCTCACAACAGTCATGTACATACATTGATACACATATATTCAGTTACGTACCATCGTTGATATAGTTTCATAGTTCAAAGATAAAAGATAAACATTTGACACAAAATGTTTATAGTATCATTACATAACTGACCACCACACAGTTACAGATCTACTTCATAAAATGCAAAGTCAAAACTAAGAACTCCCAAACTCAGTTGACAATAAATTAGTAAGTCACTTGACCTGTACGCTAACAAAATGCCGTAACGGTCAACATCACATAACATGTCTCAACAAAACAAAATAAGTTCGATAAACATGCACATCTGTAAATGGTACAACTATACAACCCAAACCTAGCTAGAATTTAACCCCACATGCGATTATGATTAGGTTAACAAAAAACTAGACTTAATTACACAAACGTAAGGTGCAACACCATATAGAAGATAATAATGAAATAATATTCTATAATTTATAGAACCCAGTAAAATAATTAAATAAAAAACTGTTATAATGGTATGAAACAAATATACAAAAATATCAACCACCGTAAACATATCATGCTTTTTAATAGCGAGCATATGACAAGACATAAACCATTCCCGAAGTACAGTAAATTATTCTAGTTACCCATAAATTACATATATTTAAATAAGTCTCGAGCATCAATCAACATTAAGTATCAAATCCAAAATATTCGAAATTAAAACAAAATACACTTACACACCACATACATATAAAAAAAATATTATATCCCGCGCGAAGCACGGACAAGCCACTAGTTCATTAAAAAAAAGAAACTTAATGACATAGTTTGAACGAAGATGAAAACATTACGCAGCTGTTACCATTGGTGGTAGAGCAATCAGAAGTGGAAAAGACGAAGGCTAGTGGAAGAGGATATGGTGATTACTGGGATTCTAAGTTAACTTTAAAAGGTTTTGTAAAATTTTAACTGAGTCATGGTATGGTCCAAATAATGCCGCAATTTTTTCTAGAACATAACTTTAGAGCACCTTCAGATTGAGCCGCAATTTTTTTTAAGAACCCCTCATTAGAGATGGTCTTAATTTTTGGGGAACCTTGACGTGTCATCATTTGTTGTATTCTTCACGGGAAAAGGGTCTTTTTCGACTCCAACATTTTCTATCGCGTTTTTTATACCTAAACAAATCATAAGTGTAAAATCATACCTAACCTAAGAATTTATTTAAATTTTCAACTCAAATTTCAATCCATTGTATGAAAACCTACCTTGACTAACACCGCGTTAGTCAACCATTATGTTTGGTAAAATGACTTCGTTTCGTAATGGAGAAAATTCTGAAAAATTACATCTCCTGGGAATCGAACCTTGGTCCAGCGGATATAAAACAAACTTACTTACCTCTGTACTACATCATTTCTATTGTTACACTAATAGATTTAAAAGATTTATATTTTGGCTTTGTATATTTACGGGAATAAATATTCTTGTTTATAAATTTTATTTAATACAAGTTATAATTGCATCAAGAATTTATATATTTTAACTTCTTACACTCTTACACATGTAATAAAAATAAAAATGATATTTCTCAAAGGGCAATTCTCTCAGATAGAGTTCTTTTAAAAATAATTTGTCATAAAATCTCTTTAGGTCGTTTTCTACCTACATATAATAGTGATTGTATTTTTTCTTAAAAATCAAAAGTTAAATTTTAAAATTAAAAAATTATTATAACAAAATTTATATTTTAAAATAAACAATGTATTAAATAAAAACTTAAAATTTGATTTTTAAGATATATAATCACTATTGTATGTAGATTTTTAAAATTTAAATATTTAAAATTAGATAACTATTTGAGAAATGTCATCTTAAAATTTGATTTTTAAGAAAAATATATAATCACTATTGTATGTAGGTTTTTAAAATTTAAATATTCAAAATTAGATAACTATTTGAGAAATGTCATCTTTAAATTTGATTAAAAATCAAATTTTAAGTTTTTATTTAGTACATTGTTTATTTTAAAATATAAATTTTGTTATAATAATTTGTTTATTTTAAAATTTAACTTTTGATTTTAAGAAAAAATACAATCACTATTATATGTATGTAGAAAACGACCTAAAGAGATTTTATGACAATTTTTTCCAAAAGAATTATATCTGAGAGAATCGTCTTTTAAAAATATCATTTTTAAATTAGATTAAATAATTTACAAAATATCATTTTTAGTTTTATTACATGTGTAAGAGTGTAAGAAGTTAAAAATATATAAATTCTTGATGCAATTATAACTTGTACTATAAAATTTATAAACAAGAATATTTTATTTCCGTAAATATACAAAGCGAAAATATAAATCCTTTAAATCTAGTGTAACAATAGAAATGTTGTAGTACAATGGTAAGTAAGTTTGTTTTATATATGCGGGACCACGGTTTGATTCCCATGAGATGTAATTTTCTTAGAATTTTCGCCATTACAAAACGACGTCGTTTTATCAAACATAACGGTTGACTAACGCGGTGTTAGTCAAAGTAGGTTTTCATACAACGGACTGAAGTTTAGGTCAAAAATTTAAATAAATTATTAGTTTAGATATGATTTTGCACTTATGATTTGTTTGGATATAAAAAGACAAGATATAAAAAGACAAGATATAAAATGTTTGGATCGAAAAAGACCATTTTCCCCTTCGAAATGACGTGACACACCTTTAGAAGAGGAACCTAGGGTTACTCTTTATAGATGATTATTTGTATCATGTGCTTTGAATGGGCTATATGTGTGAGTTAACCTCTTTGAATAATCATGTTTACATACATATTCCGAATACTTATATTAATTAAAAAATAACATATCAACGAATAATAAACATGAAAAAGATATCTCAGCATCCAGATAAACATACAAGTATCCAACGGTTGACAATAATTTTAAAAGAGCAAAAACAAAATGAGGGACTATATATATACATAGACTTACTCTAGAAAAGACCATTCTACTTCTATATTAAGTGAGAGTGTCATAGAGCCTCACATATATAGTTGAAAGTCTCTTATTTAATTAAAAAAAATAGTAAGAGTGATCAATAATTCACTTGTTCTCAAGCTCAGTCATCACTATCATCATCTGTCTACACGTTGGGCTGGAATCGACCAGAGCGAAGTGATACGTCACAAGATCTGATTGGTTCACCGGAGATCAAATGGGGAGGACGACTTGGTTCGATGACGCCGGTTTGAAGAAAGGAGAGTGGACGGCGGAGGAAGACCGGATGCTCGTGGCTTACATCAACGAATACGGTCTCGGGGACTGGCGTGCCATGCCTAAGAGAGCCGGTATAAATCTATACTTACTCCCTATATATATATGTATGCATTGTGTACGGACCACCTATGTTTGTGTCTCTTTCAAAGCTACGATCTCTAAGTTTCAGTTTCTGTCGGATCAAAGATTTTCTTTGAGCATGGTTTGAGTCTTTTTCCTTGGTTTTATTTTTTTCTCGATCATGTCAAATATTCCATCATCTGAAGAGATTATTAACAAAAATTCATTTATTCCTTTTTAAAAAGATACATAACAGGCTATTTCGTTTTTTGGAGTATATATATATCTTTTTTTTTTGTGCAACAGTATATTATAGATACATGAATTTACAATAAAGATGTTTGTAATAAGCCTTACAAAATTATTGTGTAGATAAGACTTTTATTTCAACGTGTAGATGAAATTTATTCGATTATTATATTAATAAACTTGTTGAACCTTCAACCATATATTGTGTTGATATGATGATATATCACCCATAATTCAATATGTGAACCCATGAAAGCCAAGTATTATCCTGATTACTTTTTATCATGATGTATTATTATATTCAGTCTTTGAAAGTGATAATTTACAAAATCGGAAAGTTTATTTGATTGTGTTTTCTCCCTTTTTGGGTGATGGAAGAAAATATTGTCTTTTTTTGTTGCTGTTGTAAATTCTTTGTTTCCCACTATATTAAAGTAATAATCTCGCTTCGGCTTCTGATAAATATATGCGTATATTTATTTTCAAAATGATAAAAGGTCTGCAAAGATGTGGGAAGAGTTGTAGATTAAGGTGGCTGAATTATTTGAGGCCTGGAATTAAAAGAGGCAAGTTCTCTCCTCAGGATGAAGATGATATCATCAGATTTCATTCTCTACTTGGTAACAGGTAATTCATTTTGTGATTAAATGCAAACCAACACAATAATCTTGTCATATTAATCAATAATCATGTTATAATCATAATTAAACTGATGATTATGCATAATTACATAAGGTGGGCAGCAATAGCAAAGAAAATGCCCAACCGCACAGACAATGACATAAAGAATCATTGGAACTCTTGTCTAAAGAAAAGACTCGTTAGAAGCGGAATCGATCCTATGACCCATGAGCCTATCGTCAACGTCAAAGCAACTTCCTCCTCAACGACTTCGTCTCCAACACTGACCCCTTCTTCTAGTGCTTCCTCATTCTCCTTCACAAGCTCTGCACGTATTCTTAACAGGCTTGCTGCTGGAATCTCCTCTAGAAAACATGGACTCGATAGGGTCAAGACTGTGATATTGTCAGAACCAAGACAAGCCGAAGCTGTTAGTGAAGATAAGTTGATGATAAGCAGCAAGGAAGAAGAGGAGGGAGTGAATGGCTGTTTCATGGAGATTGATGATAATTTGATTAGTACGACGTCGTTAGATGGGTTACTTTGTGAGTCTACTACTACGACGACTGGCTTCGTAACTGCTTTTGATGACTGCTCATTAGCTGAGCCCTATGATATGTACCAATCTGATATCTATCATGAGGCTGATGACCAACTTGACCTGTTCCTCGAAATTCACTCTCATGGACAAGAAGATTTATCTTGAATTCGTTTTTATTTTTATTTTATTTTGTATCTGTTTGTTCAGAGTGACGAAAGAGATAAAGAGGTTCATGAGAAAACCAAGTGCTTTTAGTAGTTTAGTACTATAAATGACATGCATGGTCAATGTTTCTTAGTTTTGACTGTTAATTTTTTTCTGATCGATTACCGCTCTCTCCCTCTCTTGCACATGCTTATGAGCCCAGCATGCATATCTGAGGAAGGGTTTCATGTCATAATGATGTGTTGTTGAAGCTTTATTATTATATGTAGTGTAGAACTGTCATATGCTATGAATTTGTTCTGACTCGGTAGCATTACATAGCACAGAGATTTTGACCGGTCAATGAGTAAGGAGACAACGTCACTCTGCCCTGGTTTGGGGAAACAATATACGGTTACTCTTATATATACGAGCCTTTTTACTCTTCTTAGTTGTATTTATTGAGTCTAATTTTGCGAGTCCGTCAGCGGTAAAGTTTTAGACAAATAATACATATATCCTGTGCGCTTATTACATATATCCTGTGCGCTTCTAGTAATAAAGGATGTTTGTTTGCATGTGGACATAGCCGATTTGGTGAATCACGTGTTAAATCGCCGTGTTCTTTTTTTATTTACGGTTTATCATCTGTCTTCACATTGTTTTTCTCGTATCTATTATAAGTAACATGTCGAATATACACGAATACACGATAACCAACAATTTTTTAAAAGAATTATATCATGTGAATCAATCAAATATCAAACTGTTCAAACACCGGATCACAAAAAGAAAAAACAATATTGATCTTAAAACTCCCTTCTTATATATTAGTTTGGTTTTTGTTTCCCACTACGTTCTTTTGTCTTTTTTTGTGGTTTTTTTTACCAACAAAAAGAAAAAAGACAAGCTTCGTGAGCTACCTAAGTAAACTACCAGATCTCATAGTTTTTTTTTTAGATCTCATAGTTTCTATTAGAAAGAACGTATATACTGGAATATTATCTATTTTTGTTACATCACTTGACTACAGCCATGATTAATCTAGAGTAAACTATGCACATTTTGTTTACTGCTTTGACTTAATCGGTTTAACTTCTTGCGTAAACTCTAACTAAATATTTTCACTGTGATTTACTGATTTTATGCTTACACTAATAAGTTCAGATAGTACAGTCAGGGTCGGTCCTGAGATTTTGGGGGCCTACGGCAATTTCTATGTAAAAAACTTTTTAGGGGTTTAAACAATATTTTTTGGGGTCTACATTTATGTAATTTTTTTCAATTTTTTTGGGGATTTGAAACAAATGTTTTATTAGATATGCCCCAGGGGCGTCCCTGAGTACGGTGGAAGTAATCTCTATAATATTATTTGAGAAGTCGGTTTCTTATGTGTCGCGTTCACGTTAACTCTCGTGATGGTTGATTACATAGATACCCTTAATGAATTGTAAGATTTTAAGATTATTATTTTTTATTTAATTTTTTACCTCTTTCCAAATAACATATATAATAAAAAGGAATTATTTCTAAAATTTTAAAACAAAATTAAGACGAAAATATATGTATATAATATGACTTTATTAAAATGGAAAGTTCACAAAATAGTAATACCCCCATTAATATATATTTTTAAATAAAATAAAATATATTTTCAAAATAATAAAAATATATATGTTCATGAACATCCAAAAATTTATCAGTTACACTTTATTTTTAATATTTTTTTAGAAATTCACATATAATTTGATAAATGTTATGAAAATTCATGTATATTTAAGCGATAAATAAAACTAATTTGATTTGACTTAACTAAAATAAAGAGTAAATTTTTCCAACGTGTCGCGCTCACGTTAACTCTCGCGATTGTTGATTACATAGATACCATTAACTAATCGTTAGATTTTAAGATTATTATTTTTTATTTAGTTTTTTACCTCTTTTCAAATAACATATATAATAAAAAGAAAATATTTCTAAAATTTTAAAACAAATTTAAAACGAAAATATATATGTATGTAATATGACTTTATTAAAAAGAAAAGTTCACAAAATAGCTTATATTACCCCTATTAATATATATTTTTAAATAACATAAAATATATTTTCAAAATAATAAAATTATATATGTTCATGAACATCCAAAAAATTACCAGTTACACTTTATTTTATAATATTTTTTAGAAATCAAAATATAATTTGATAAATATTATGAAAGTACATGTATATTTAAGGGATAAATAAAAATAATTTGATTTAACTTAACTAAAATAAAGAGTAATTTTTTTGAACACATATAAAGAGTAAATAAATATTATGAAAATACATGTATATTTAAGCGATAAATAAAATTAATTTGATTTCACTTAACTAAAATATATTTACATATCTAAGAATATATTTGCATATCTAAAGACAATAACCAACCGAAATAAAAATAAGAAAATTAATTTTATTATATTTAGAATAAAAAATATTATAGCTGAATTCAAAAAATATATATTATCCAATATACCAAATTGATAACCAAACCGACTATTGATCCAAAAAATAATTAAACCGATAATAATATATCCAAAGTCATATGTATAATTAGAATAATATAATATTTATTAATATCAACTATACATATAAATTGATTCAAAACTAAAACTAAATATCAATCAAATATTATAAAAATATATTTTTATGAATATTCATATCAGTGCATGAGCACGGGAAAATCACCTAGTCATATATATATCATGTGATTCAACGTTTTCGTTCTTGATTGTTTTAGTTCTAATCCGTGGGCCTTTTTGGTTTTGACACAATTTGTGGCAATACGAGTCCTGAAATAGTTTCCACTTCTTTGATACGTCAATTGCGGAAAATGTTTACAACGCGTGTGGCAAATTTATAAATTATAATCGTGGGACTAGCTTCCGCGTCGCTGGTCCATACTTGTTTTGGACTATTTAACTATTACTAAATTTTCCCAAACTTCGTATGATCATTTTCCTGTAGACTTTAAATGTTATATAGTCTAAAGGACCAAGGTTAAATCCACCTGACCAAGAAGAGTAAGTGAGAGGACAAGAAGAGAGCACTGCTTGTCGCAAAAAAAAAGAAAGAAAAAAACACTGTTTCAAAAATCTTACGAATTAGTATGATTCAAGCTCTGCTTTATTTCTAGTCTTCTAGACACAGGGAATATAATTATTTGTCCTCTTTTTTATTGGACGAAATTATTTGCTCTCTTTAATCATTTCTGTTCATTCAATTTTCGTGTCAATAGAATTTTTTTATTGTTTCAGAGATTTTTTGCTTCGGTGGGGTTTTCACTCCTATTTCAATAGTGGTGACCTAATTAATTTTATAAAGGGTTATTGGTAGGGCTGGGCACGGGGCAAATACCCAGAATTTTAGTTATACTTGTAACTCGACTTGCTCCGTCCAAGTATTAAAAAATTCGCC